TTTTTATTAACTCCAACTAACATACGGTTTATATGTATTTCAATCTATTCCCACCATCTCTCCAGATTCATTAATATTCATCGATTAATTATTCATTTTCTTCAACCTTGGAATGACAACATCTGAATCTCGATAAATTGGTCAACTGTTTAAAAAAATATAAACTTTCTTTTTACATTCCTCTTAACCAACAATTATTGTTTACATTATAAGTTTTTATATATAAAAACTATTCTACATCAGCAAAGAATTCACTCTGCTTTTAGAAATCCTTTTCTTTCTCCATACAATAATTTCTGGTCAATAAATTTACTTCATAACATAACTGATTCGTCCATCAGTTTATTAGAAAAAAAAATATCTTTTTTTTCCCTCGCTTCATATTCCAATTCCTGGTTCTCATTTTACGTTTTTTTTTTGTTTAACATTTTTGTTAACACTTTCACACCTCCAGTTCTATACAGGGTTACCAAACGAGCGCTCTCCATCAGAAATCTAAAACCACTAACGCTACATACCTTTTAGCTACTATCAGGGACCCTTTATAGTGTCAAAAAAGACCCTTCTTTGGATTTTGTCAAGAATATGGAGTTTTATAGAAGAGGCACCACACCATATGTGACAGCAATATTCAAGGAACGGAAATATGGTAGATTTATAAACGTGCAAGATGGATTCTGGCGGTAATACTTGAACCGACTTCCCTAGCAGGCAGACCTCGCAATGAATTCAATATAAGCATTCCACGTTATGCCAGTGGAAAACGTGAGACCGAGAAGTCACAGTGAGTCACTCGCCTGGTGGTTGGCATCAGCCATTCTGATGGAAGGCAGAAAGGGTTATTTTAGGTGACTAGAAAAACAGCAGTTTCGCTTTGGGGGCAGCAAAGTTTACAATCTATTTCTTGCCCCAGCTAACAACAAATTGAAGGTTATCTTCGAGATCATCTGCGAGTTTTACTTTATCGGACCCGTCGAACTTACTTATCAAGACAGGCGTACATAGTTGTGTTGTCAGCGTAGATACTCAGCTGGGAACTGGTGACATCGGGAATGTCGCTGATAAAGATACATAATAGTCAGTTAAATTTTGTTGCGGCCCAATATTAAACACTCGACTCTGGCATATCCGCTTGTTATATTTATCTGTATCTCATAGACACTAAGAATTGGACAAAGTCCGACAATTTATTAATTTCGAAACATTTTATTGTTTAACATTCTTTTATAGATTTCAATTATTTAATAAATGCAAAATAATTTATAATAACCTTTAAAAAAAAAATTTGGTCTGAATGTCAAAGAAAATATTTTTTATGAAAATTTCTCGGACATTTAGGCCGGTAAATGTTATTTAATAACTGTTTATGAAATAAATATATTTTTAATATGACGGTTAATGTATTTAATACAGGTTCATTTCTTTCAAAGGACGAATATTTTTTATGAAGTTTTCTCGGACATTCAAAAAAACTTTAAATGTTTATTTAATACTGTTTATTATAAATGATAGCACGCCAGGCTATAATGACGGTTCTGTATAGGATGAACAGGTTCGAATTAAAAAAAAAGAGACGAATATTTTCTATGAAATTTTTTCTTTAGACAGAAGGCCCAATAATTATTTAATACTGTTTATTATAAACATATCAAATTCAATTATTTGACGGTTCTCATATAAATACAGGTTTTTTTCCTCTGTCAAAGGACGAATATTTTCGATATGAAAATCAGAATCAAATTCAGTCCGGTAAATGTTATTTAATACTGTTTATTTCACGTCAGGCTATATGAGGTAAAAATTGGATACAGGTTCGAATCCTTCAAAGGACGAAAATTTTTATGAAAATTTGTTATGACATTTTAATTTTTATAAATGTTATTTAATACTGTTTGGAATATAAACATAATATTTGGGCATAAACGGTTTTTAATAGGATACAGGTCCGAATCCTGTCGAAGCACGAATATTTTCTATGAAAATTTTCGGACATTCAGGCCGGTAAATGTTATTTAATACTATTTATTATAAACAGAGCATTTACTTAAATATACTTGTATCTATAAAAAGAATGATTAAAAATGAAAATTTAAAACTATTGGAAAACCTGCATCCTATATACAGAACCGTCATATATATGACGTCCTATTGTTTATAATAAACAGTTTAAATAACATTTACCGTAAAAAATTTACTTAAATACTTGTATGAATATAAAAAGAATGTTAAAACAAAAATGTCTTTAATAAATAAATTGTCGGACTTTGTCCATTTCTTAATATATGAAGTCATTTGTTTACATTTGATACGCCATGAGCAGTTATGAATGTACGAGATTCATGGAAGATTGAAGTTTATAAGCAGTAAAATTCGACTTATTTTACCGAAAATTTCCTTTGTGAAAAAGTCGGTGTAAGGCACGTCAGCGTAAATGACGGTTCCGTATAGGATGCAGGTTCGAATCCTGTCAAAGGACGAAAATTTTCTATGAAAATTTCTCGGACATTCAAGCCGGTAAATGTTATTTAATACTGTTTATTATAAACAGAGCATTTTTTTAAATACTTGTATCTATAAAAAAGAACGTTAAACATAAAAATGTCTTTATATTAGAAAATTTAGTTTTATTTTATAATTTAAATATTTAAAAAAAAACGGAAAATACGACACCGATATCCGAAAAGGCGTATTGGGATAAAGAAATATGCCTTCCAAAAGCTAAGCAGAGTATTAAGAAACAGGAAAATTTCGTTAGAAACAAAGAAAAGAACACTGAAGTGTTATATAATATTAATTTCAAAAGTGAATGATGGACCATCTCATCACAGACGGAGAAGGGGCAGTAGAAATGTGGCTCTACAGAAGGATGCTGAGAATACCATGGACTGAATACGTGCGCCACGACGAAGTTTTAGAAAAAGACGGAAACAAAAAGGACACTTACATTTAATATCAGAAAGAGACAGTTGAAATTTCTAGGGCACATGACGAGGAAAGAAGGCTTGGAAAACTTGGCACTTTAAAGGACACATTGAAGATAAGATGGACAGAAGAAAACAGCGCATTAACTACCTTGCTAGCTTGTGAAAAATGGTTGCCATAATGGCGTATTAGGAGATATAGTAAAAAGATTTACCAAGATTTCTAGGGAAAAATAGGAAATAAAAATGAGAATTATCAAACCCACGTCCCGAAGGTACACGGCGCATAGAAGAAGAAGAATTTTTAAGAAGAAGGAATTTTGCAAATACAGGTTTTATGGAGATTTGCAAAACACAAAATTTACTTTTTGTAAAAAACAGGAAATTGAGGAGGGCCATGATCGCCCACGTTCATGGTACATAGAAGAACACCAAGCTTGTGTAAATGGTTAATAGAACAGTATTTAAGAGAGATAACAAAAAAGAGAAAATTTACTAAGAGCTACAAAAGACAGGAAATTGTGGAGAGCCTTAATTACGAACGCCCTGATAGAATAAGAAAAAACGAATATCTGCAAATGGCTGGCAGATCAGGGATTAGGTGAGGTAGCAAACTGACAAAAATTACTCATAGACACTAGTGTTACGAGACAATAACTGTTATTCTTGTTGTATATTTTGTTAGATAAATGTATATTTTGTTGTGTGCGAGTTCATTGTTTTTAGTCTACGGCCTCTTTGTATTAATGTACTCTGATACCACTTTGATACAAAGTTATATTTCGTTGTCCCTGTTTTTTCCTTATATCGACACGGGCCACATGTAATCCAGTGATACCCTATCCTTTTAAAACAAACGCAAACACGGGGGTCAGGTGCTTTGCGCCAGCAATATTGACAAAGCCTCTGTGAAAACAAAGTTGACCCGCGAAAAGTCACACCAGAGGTCTCTTTGTTTGGGTTTTTTTTTTGTTTTAAGTAATCATATTTTTGATGTTGTGGTCGTTGTTCCAAAGATGGTGGTTAGTTATGAGGCGGGCAGGTCTGACGTGTCCAACAGCTAGCCAATGAACACGTCTCTGAATTAAAAGTGACGTCCGAAGCGCTGAAGCCGAGATGCAATCTGTTCTCCTGTCATTTCGATTTGATTTCAGATTGTCCAGTGAATTTTGTCAAGATAATGGAAGGTTGTCGCCATTTTCTTTTTCTTTTTTTTTTTTTTTTTTTTTTTTTTTTTTGTTGTTGTTGTTGTTTCAGTATCATATCATCCACTTAGGGGTAGATGCTGTTAAAAAAAATAATATTTTTTTTTACAATTGAAGGTTTCATCAGGATTTTAAACGATTCGAATCAATAAAAAAGCGAAATGTTTAGAATGTATAGCGCCTAAGGCAAAAATAAAAAAAAAGATATAATTACCATTATCATTCTGAAATGGAAGAGAGTTTTATTATTATTAATATTATTGTTATTATTATTATTTTGATATGTAAGAGATAATTATTATCAATAATAATATCATTTTGAATTGGAAGGCATTATTATTATTATTATTATTATTATTATTATTATTTTGAAATGTAAAAGATGATTATTATCAATAATAATATCATTCCGAATTGGAAGGCATTATTATTATTATTATTATTATTTCCTTTGGTTTCTGATGTATATTCATTTTTCAACAAAAAAAAAAAAGACAAAATTTAAAAGAGCCAAGAGTATCAGCCCATAAGCAAATGGATCGGAGCCGTTATTCATTACTGCATCGTACCTTCTCATCTATATATCTATCTATCTATCTAAATTAAATAATATCTCTATCTATCTATATAAACCTGTTATATTTTTATGCAAATACGAAAAGGTATCAACCCGCTTCTTCTCCCGGCAGTTATAGGTTAATTAGTAAGCCGATTATTATCTAAAAAAAAAAAAAAGAAAAAAAAAAAGAAAATTTTTGACAAAAAGTAAGAATTCAAATAATTCTTTTCAGGCTCAGTTCCCAAAACAAAAGACAGTTTCTAATCTTTTCAGTGCCTGGTGAGGAACACGGAGTTTTGAAACAACTGCCACCGTTTGATTGAACCCTATGTGTGCATTATCATTTATCTATCTATTATCTATCTATCTATCTATCTTTCTATCTATCTAGGTTATATATATCTCATCTCTTCTTTATCTATCTATCTATCTATCTATCTATCTATCTATCTATCTATCTATCTCAGTCTCTTATCTATCTATCTATCTATGTCTCTTTTCTTATCTATCTATCTATCTATCTATCTATATATATATATATATATATATATTCATATCTCAGTCTGTTCATATCTATCTATATATCTATCTATCTATCTATCTATCTATCTATCTATCTATCTATCTATCTATATATCTATCTATCTATCTATCTATCTAGACCTGTTATATTCACTTACGCGCAAATAAGAAAAGGCACCAACCCGCCTCTTCTCCCGGCAGCTATAGGTTAATTAGTAAGCCCATTATTTAAAAAAAATGAAAAATTTGTATAATCTGAAAATATTTTCTGACTTTAAATAAACTTTAAAAAAAAATGAATCAACCAACCATTATAATTTCTTGTTTTTACATCAAATTCTGATTAGGCATGAGTCCACCACTTGTCCCCCAGCTATGGGTTAATTAGTAAGACTTGTGTTACTAAACCATTATTATCTAAAAAACAAACATTCTTATAATCTGAAAATATTTTCAGGCTTTAAATAACCAGCAAAGGGTTTGTAAGACTTGAAAACAAATCAACCAATCTAAAAATTATCGAAACTTTTTATATAAAACTTATGGTACTTTACCCATGCATGCATGGACACTCCCAGCTATAAATAGGAGCAGGTACTGCCTTCTGGACAGGGAAGTTTCCAGCAGTCAGCTCTGACAGTCAGACCGAACATTCTTGCTGTAACACTCTCATTTGTATATGTTTGTATTACTGTTTTCTGTTAATATATTTGTTTAACTCAATTCCTTTCTTGTGTCTTTATTTCTAGCCCTAACAAAGCCACAACAATCTATTTATGATATCTATCTATAAATCTATCTTTATCTATCTATCTATCTCTATAAATATATATATATATATATATATATATATATATATATATATATATATATATATTTATATATATATATATACGTTGGTAATTTACCCATGCATTACATGGACACTCTCAGCTATAAATAGGAGGGGTACTGCCTTCTAAGAGGGAAGTTTCCAGGGAAAGTCAGTTATTAACAGTTCAGACCGAACATTCTTGCTGTAATTTATCCAGCAGTCAAACCTCTAACAGTCAAAACTAGAACATTCTTGCTGTAACACTCTCATTTGTATATGTTTGTATTACTGTTTTCTGTTAATATATTTGTTTAACTCAATTCCTTGAGTAATTTAATGGTAATTTACCCATGCATATATGGACTCTCTCAGCTATAAATAGGAGCAGGTATTGCCTTTTGGAGAGGGAAGTTTCTAGCAGTCAGCTCTGACAGTCAGGCCAAACATTCTTGCTAAATTTTCTCATTTGTATATGTTTGTATTACTACAGTTTTGTTTAACTCAATATTCTCTTGTGCCATCATTTTATTTCTGGCCCTAACAAGGCCACAACAAAAACAATTCAAGCCACGCATCACATTTACTTTATTTCAGGACAGTTGTAATGTGGTCTTTTGAAAAGGCGCCCCAACACTGAGACAAAGCCACGTCCTCTCACGCAGCCTAAGATTAATACGATTCATGTACAATAAGCCTTAGAGCACAAACATTGAAACATATATTAAGAACTAAACTCTTTTAAAACTGGTTAATGTTTTGGCCTGAAAGCGTTTGGGACAATAATCACAACAAACAGTTACTGCACTACTTTAAACCCTGCAAAAAGAACATTAAATATTAAAAACAAAATTGAAACTTGTCTATCACATTGAATGAAACATGTATAAAAGAAAGGTTGCTACTGAAATGTATTATATGTAATGGGTGGATGTGGATGTGTACCGTGTCGTTTTGTTTGTGTCTTCCGATGGAGCTGAGAGGAAATTACTGTTTGGTATGTTCATCTCCACAACATATTAAAACTATTATTTTGCAATTTCGAATCACTTATTGGAAAACGAACCAAAGAAAAAAAAATAGAAAATAAAAAAATAAAAACTAGAAGTGAGCTTGCTACAAATGAAATGAATATACCTTTATATGTTGGAATTTGGTTATGGAATAATATTAAAAGAGTCTTGAAAGAAAAATCGATTTGTCCCGTCATCGTTCTTATCCTCATCGACGTGTTTGAGACAAAGCCAGTCTTGTCCAGCAAACCAAATACAAACCAGACCTGGGTAAGACGATAAACTACATCCGACAGCAAGGTCTCTGATCGGGAGAATGGAACATTTCAGGGGCGTGGAACCACCTCTTATTTGTTGTTATTCCCAGATCCACCCTAACCCGGGGTGGTAGCACTTGTTAGGGTCCCAGTTAAGTGCAAATAGTGACCCCCACCCAAACAAAAGACTATCAAAGTATAAAAACACATTTTAATAGTAATAAAAAAAAATGACCAGCAATAAGTTTTATATCAAAATGACCAATACATCTGTAGTTGAAGGCATAAAGGTTTAAAGTACGTATATTTCGGCATTAAATAACCCATAGAGGTGTTGATATACCGCTAAACAAAATCAGCCAACCAAATGCAAACGCATACAAACACATACTCTCTTATATATATATATTTATTTTTTTCAATTAAATATATATATATATATATATATATATATATATATATATATATATATATATATAAGCACCACACCATTTTAGCGGCAGTCTGTCTTTTTCCTGATGTCGTCAGTTATCAACTCGGTGTCTATGCAGATGGCACCGCTATTTACTGGAATTTTAATGGTAAGATCAAATTGGCAGCGGATGCAAAAGATATGACCTCTATTCTATTGTTAACCGAGGCAAGAAATGGCTTGTTCATTCTAACGACCCCCCCAAAAAAACGAAACTGCTGTCAAAGACAACCTTTTTTTTATTTTATTGCTTTACGTCAGCATGGCTGATGCTAACCTCCTTGCGTCTTCTCAGATTAACGTTTTCCGCTGACATGAAGTGGAAAGATTATATTGAATCAATTGCTAGATCTTCTGCTAGGAAAGTTGGTTCACTGTGTCATACTAGACAGTTTTTCTCGCCCGAATCTATCTTACATATATATATATGTCTACCATTCGTCCATGCATTGAATATTGCTGCCACATGTGATCTGGTGTTTCTGTTGCTTCTGCTATGTAGTTAGAGGTTCTTGATAAAATCCAAAGACGAATCTGCTATGTTATTGGTCCTAACTTGACCTGGTATCTCGTCTTCAGCCATATTTCTAGTAGTCTTAATCGGTCTGGATTTCTAGTATTAGAATTGTTCTATTTCTCAAGCTTTTTACCTATTAATAGTAGACGAAATAGTCTTAACGTATCATAATCTTATGGTATTGGATGTAGTAGTCTTGTAATTTTTAGATGAATCATTATCACTTATTATTGCTTTTTGACTATTTTTGTATACTAATAGTAGATGTAGTAGTCTTAATTGGTCAGGATTTCTAGTATTAGAATTCTTCTATTTCCCATGCTTTTTACCTATTGATAGCAGATGTAATAGTCTTAACGTTTCTGTATCTTGTGCTATTGGATGTAATAGTCATCTATTTTCTTAGATGAATCATTACCAATTATTTCTTTTTGACGACATCGGTTGCTTTTCTACCGACTAATTGTAGATGTAATAGTCTTTAACATGTCTAAATCTTACAGTATTAAATATTAAAAATTTTTTTTAATGTTTACATGAATCATTACCAATTATTAGTACTTTTTGGCAATGTCGTTTTATATTTTGCATTCTATCTGTAGATAGTCTTAATTAGTCTGGACTTTATTCGTATTCAATGTCTTCTAATGTCGTAGATGAACCACATCTTTCTTTCGACCCAAAAAATAAAGGCATAATTATATTAACATTTCCAAATATTATTGTATCAGGCATAAAGCTACAACACTTTTTACTGCTGACATGAAGTGGAACGATTATATTGAATCACTTACTAGATCTGCTGCTAGAAAAAAATCGATTCACTGTCATACTAGACAATTTCTCTCTCCGGAATCTATCTTACATATTTATAAGTCTACCATTCGTCCATGCATTGAATATTGCCGCCACACATTGTGCTTTGGCTATATATTTAAAGATTCTTGATAAGAAAACAAATGAGAATCTGCAATTTTATTGGTTCTGCCGTTGCATTTCGGCTAAATTAATTTTCCCCAACGCCGTAACTTAACTTTTCTGTGTCTTTTCTATAAATAATTTAGCAGCAATTGTTTTCATAAGCTTTCATCTTTGATACCTAGAATTTAAGCGTATTACTAGATCGAGAACAAAGTCTCATAATTCTACAGTTGAAATGGCTAGATGTAACCGTAAGTTCTATGCTAACAGTTTCTTCTCCCGCTTTTCTCGCTTCTTGCTTCTCAATCAACTTTGATCTTCAAAAAATTAAATGCAATATCAATGATTATCTTCTGTCTTCTTAATACTATTTTCTCATCATGTTTCAGTTGAAATGGCTAAATGTAACCGTAAGTTCTATGCTAACATTTTCTTCTATCGCACTTCTCGCTTGTGGAACCCTTTTCCGGCTTCTTGTTTCTCAATAAATTTTTATCATAAGAACATTAAATGCAATATCAATGGTTATCTTCTATCTACTTAATAATATGTTTTCATCATTTTGCAATTGAAATGGCTGGATGTAACCGTAAGTTCTATGCTGACAGGTTTTTGCATCACACTTTTCGCTTGTGGAACTCTCTTTCGGCTTTTTGCTTTCCTGTCAACTTTGATTTTCAAAAAATTAAATGCAATATCAATGATTATCTTCTGTCTTCTTGATACTATTTTCTCACCATGTTTCAGTTGAAATGGCTAAATGTAACCGTAAGTTCTATGCTAACAGTTTCTTCTATCGCACTTCTCGCTTGTGGAACTCTCTTTTGGCTTCTTGCTTTCCAGTCAACTTTGATCTTTAAAAATTTAAATGTAATGTTAATCGTTATCTCCTGTCTTCCTGATTACTCTTCTATTGTTCTCGCTCAATTTTCGCTTGTGGAACTCTCTTCCGGCTTCTTGCTTTCCAGTCAACTTTGATCTTTAAAAAATTTAAATGTAATGTCAATCGTTATCTTCTGTCTTCCTGATTACTCTTCTATTGTCCTCGCTCAATTTTCGCTTGTGGAACTCTCTTCCGGCTTCTTGCTTTCCAGTCAACTTTGATCTTCAAAAATTTAAATGTAATGTCAATCGTTATCTTCTGTCTTCCTGATTACTTCTATTGTCCTCGCTCAATTTTCGCTTGTGGAACTCTCTTCCGGCTTCTTGCTTTCCAGTCAACTTTGATCTTCAAAAATTTAAATGTAATATCAATCGTTATCTTCTGTCTTCCTGATTACTCTTCTATTGTCCTCGCTCAATTTTCGCTTGTGGAACTCTCTTCCGGCTTCTTGCTTTCCAGTCAACTTTGATCTTCAAAAATTTAAATGTAATGTTAATCATTATCTTATGAATTCTTAATTCCAGTTCTTTTATTGGTCACCCTACTTAATAAGTTTTTATTTGTCTCATATTCTCCCCTTGTGTCTTAGCGAATTTATTGTCTTGCTTGGGGTGAAATAAATTTTAAAATAACCGGACAACAGAACGAGCAAGTGCATTTGAATTTCCTGTGATTGGCAGACTAATTCAATCATGTAAATTCTAATATAATTTGCATTTAATAACAGTTTATTATTAGTTTCTATCAGTCGATGATGCCCTCGGGATAAGCGAGGTGTATATAAGTGGGTCGGAGGGTTATTATTGATTTGCTACGACGGAATATGATTAGATGTGGTTCAGGTACAATGTGTACCAGAGAATCAGTGGTGTTTATCTCTTGTATTGATAAAGGGTGTTTCATTAAGACGGATCAAAGTCAGCAGTAAATAAATCAGTGTTATTGGTGAAAATTTATTTATTTCTCTATTGGCTATACCCAGTGTTTTCTTTCAATTTCACTCCCTGTAACCCCCTACGTACTAGTGGCATTCACGGCTTGTTTGGGTGAAATCATTATAAAAAGACCAGACGTTTACAGCCCCATTCACATTATCGAATCATCTGCATTCATTTCGTATTCCGAGAACAGACTCCCAAGAGGATACTTTCTCAATCATCACATTATTAACTACTACAGATCTTCAAAAATCAACTGGTATCTTTCTTTCTGTTGTAGCATACCTAATAATGGGTATGTCCCCATTCACATAAATACAGTAGTAAATACTGTATGTTGGTTTGCAGTTGGAGGTTGGTCTCCAACTGTGCTGGTCAAACTCTCCGCCTCCGGGCAAAGAGGATCCCCAGACGAGGTTATGTCGAAGGGCAGAGTGTCATCTCGGGAAACAGCTACCCAACCCCGTTTTATACGTGGTCTAGGGTGAACTTCTGGCCGATCCTACGGGCTAGGATAAAATTAAAATTCGGCCTTGTGACACATCTGATCGCGGGGGTGGGTGGGGGCGGTTGGTAGATATCCTGCAGTTGGAGATTTGCCTCCAGCTGTGCTGGTCAAATTCTCTGCCTACTGGCAAGGAGGATCCTCAAACGAGGCTATTTCGAAGGACAGAGTCTCGTCTCGGGAAACAGCTACCCGGCCCCGCTTTATACGTGGTCTAGGGGGAATTTTTGACCGAGCCTACTGGCTCGGATACCCCACATTAAATTCGGCCTTGTAACACAACTGACCGCGTGAAGCGGTTAGTAGATATCTTGCAATTGGAGATTCATTGTTGAATTCACTTGACTCACTTCTAGCAGTTGACTACTTCTACGAGCCGGTGGCGAATCTTCTATGTGTTGTTCTTGTCCTAAGTATTATCGTTCCTTACCAACCTTCGTTTGATTAATCTATTCAGTAACCTTCCCTAGGTTACAACACTTTCATAACTGCGTATCTTTTCCTCTTATTCTTACCTCCACGCAGCAACATCGTTCAATAACCTCCTAACTTTTTCTGGCTTTGTATTGGACGAGCAGTAATGCTGTTAAGAAAGCTGAATCAACTGTGTCTTATCAGACAGTTTTTCTAATCAGAATCCATCTTGAACATTTTTTTATCTTATCTGAAATTACAGTTCACCTTTTCATAGAATGGATCACACACGAGAATCGTTAGGCCAGTCTGCACTTCTATACATTAATCTAGCATTCGGACGTCCATTAAATATTGCTGTCATATCCGGTCTGGTGCTCCTGCTATATAGCTCAAGATCCTCAACAAAATCCAATGAACGGTCTGCAATGTTATCCGTTCTGACCCGGCATCTCAACTTCAGTTCCATGCCCCCCCCCCTAAAATATTTTTATGGCAATTATTCTAACGAGGAAGAAACAAGTTCCATTTCTTTTTATTCGTCAACACTTTGCCCGGCTTCTTCTTCTTCTTTCCCCCCTCTTCCACCAACTTCTTCTTTTTCTTCTTCTTCACTTACTCTTTCCCTTCCTTCTTTTCCTCTTCCTCCACAAATTTCTTCTTTTTATTCTCCAACACCACATTCTTCTTCTTCTTCTTCTTCTTCTTCTTCTTCTTCTTCTTCTTCTTCTTCTTCTTCTTTTCCTCCCTCGCCACCTTTTTCTTCTTTTCTTCCTCCTCCACCAGCTTTTCTTTTTTCTTCTTCATCATCTACTCCTTCTCTTGCTTTCCTCTTCCTCCACAAATTTCTTCTTTTTATTCTCCAACACCACCCTCTTCTTCTTCTTCTTTTCCTCCTCCAGCACCTTTTTCTTCTTCTTTTCTTCCTCCTCAACCAACTTTTCTTTTTCTTCTTCATTACATACTTCTTCCCCTCCTTTCCTCTTCCTCCACAAAATTTCTTCTTTTTATTCTCCAACACCACCTTCTTCTTCTTCTTTTCCTTCTCCGCCACCTTTTTTTTCTTCTTTTCTTCCTCTTCCACCAACTTCTTCTTTTTCTTCTTCATCATCTTGCCTTCTTTTCCTCTTTCTCCACAAATTTCTTCTTTTTATTCTCCAGAACAACCACCACCAGCAGCACCTTCTTTCTTCTTCTTCTTCTTCTTCTTCTTCTTCTTCTTTCGTCCATCCCTGTTTCTTTTCGTACTCCACCACTTTCTACTTCTTTTCACCCACTATGAACATTTCTTTCTTCCTTTCTCCACCATGGTACCCCAAACGCATGAATTTAATCATGTAAAACATTGGCAACCCGGTCACAGCGTTTTAAAGTTGAACTAAGATATAAACATAAACGTAAATTCTATTGTAATAGTTTTTTTGCTTTTTTTTAATCTCGCTTTTGACGCCTGTGGAAATCACTTCCGGTTTCTTACTTCCCTGGCATCTACAATTTAAAAAAAAAAATTTAAATCCATTTTCTCAATCCATTTTCTACCTTCGAAAACCCTGTTCTTTTATTTTTTTCTCTTTCTCTTCGCGAAAGCGTCCTCCCTCTCTTTCATTCTCAATAACTCGTTGCGTCTGGAATTATCGTCTTGGGAATGGATTTTAAAATAAATAAGCAGACCAAGATAGTAAAACACGTCTGCATTCACCTCTACTACCATTCTCCTTTCTCTTTGTTTCCTCCTCATTCACCTTTTTTTTTCTTTTCTTCCTCCTTCACCAACGTCTTTTTCTTTTCTATCACCTACTCCTTTCCCTCCTTGTTTTACTCTTCCACCACTATTTTCTTTTTATTCTTCTATTCTTCTTTCACCACCTTTTTCTTCTTCTTTTATTCCTCTTCTACGAACTTCTTCTTTTCTTCTACATCAGCTACTTCTTCCTTCCCTTCTTTTTCTCTTCCTCCATAATTTTCTCCTCTTTATTCTCCATCACTTTGTCCTTCTTCTTTTCCTTCTCCATCACCCTTTTCTTCTTTTTTCTTCCTCCTCTACTAACTTCTTTTTTCTCTACCTCTCCTACACCTTCTCCTCCTTCTTTTTATTCTCCTCCGCCTTTTTTTCTTCTTCTTCTTCTTCTTCTTCTTCTTCTTCTTCTTCTTCACCACCACCACCTTTTTCTTCTTTTTTTCCTCCTCCGCAAACTTCTTCTTTTTCTTCTTCGTCACCTTGCCTTCTTTTCCTCTTCCTCCACAAATTTCTTCTTTTTATTCTCAAGAACTTTCTTCTTCTTCTTCTTCTTCTTCTTCTTCTTCTTCTTCTTCTTCTTCTTCTTCTTCACCACCACCACCACCTTTTTCTTCTTTTTTTCCTCCGCCGCCAACTTCTTCATTTTTTTCTTCATAACCTTGCTTTCTTTTCCTCTTCCTCCACAAATTTCTTCTTTTTATCCCCCAAAACCTTCTTCTTCTTCTTCTTCTTCTTCTTCTTCTTCTTCGCCTCCACCTTTTTCTTTTCGTCCTCCAGCACTTTCTACTTCTCCCCCCTCCATGAATATTTCTTTCTTCTTTTCTCCCCACTCCTCAACATTCTTCACCTCCTCTTTCTTTTCTACTCCGCTACCTTCAATTTATCCTCTACCAGCTTTCCCCCTCCTTCTTTACCTCCCCCTCTTCCCTTACATTATTCTTTTACTTTTCCACCACCACCACCTTCTACTCCTCTATTTACTCCTCCTCCAATATCTTCTACTATTCTTCCTCCGCCATCTTGTTCTCGCTCAGTTGCTATGTAATATCAAATCTTATATTTTTGGCTGTGACAAAAATATTGATAGAAAAGTATTAACTGATTCAATTAGGTTGAACCGAAATTGAAAAAGAAATTTAGGAATTCACTTCATATTTAGACTTTCTATTAATAAGATCCGAGAATAAATTAGAAAAAATAAATGATATGGCGACCCTCATTTTGATTTACATTGTGACAATAAAATTAAAAACATTATAATAATATTTTTATAACATAGCCTTTACAATTCTTAGCGTAAAAATTCATTGCAAACAAAGAAAAGGGTGGTGACCTGCTATGTAATATCAAACATCCAGATGAAGAAAAGTCTTGAGTCAACAGAGATGTGATTCTGCAGAAGGAGGCAAAGAATACCATGGACTGAACGTGTGAACAATAAGGAAGTTTTTAGGAAAACAACACATGAAGGAAAACAGTGATGATCTGCTATTTAATATCAGTCGTCTTATATGGCAGGGAATGCTGGACAATTTCCGCACAGATAAAGAGAATACTTGAGTCAACAGAGATGCAATTCCACAGAAGGAGGCAAAGAATACCATGGACTGAACATGTGAGCAATAAGGAAGTTTTTAGGAAAACGACACATAAACGAAAAGATCTGCTATTTAATATCAGTCGTCCTATATGGCAGGGAATGTTGGACAATTTCCGCACAGATAAAGAGAAGACTTGAGTCAACAGAGATGCGATTCCAACTGAAGGAGGCAAAGAATACCATGGACTGAACATGTGAGCAATCAGGAAGTTTTAAGGAAGAAAACACTTAAATGAAAACAGTGCTGATCTGCTATGTGATATCAGTCGCCCTATATAGCAGAGAATGCTGGACAATTTCCGCACAGATAAAGAGAAGACTTGAAGCAACTGAGACGTGATTTTACAGAAGGATGCTAAGAATTCCATGGACTGAACATGTTATCAATAAGGAAGTTTTCAGGAAAATAACGCCTAAAAGAAAAGAGTTATGACCTGTGATGTAATATCAATTGTCTTACATGGAAGTGAATACTGGACAATTTCCGCACGGATAAAGAGACAACTTGAAGCAACGGAGATGTAATTTTACAGAAGGATGCTAAGAATTCCATGGACTAAACATGTGATCAGTAAGGAAGTTTTTAGGAAAATGGAAACAAAATGGACATTGAGACAGTTAAAATTTACTGACCGCATAATAATGAAAGATGGCTTGGTGAATTTAACTCTGGAATGGCATATTGAATTCAAGAGGGGCGAATGGAATAGGTTTTAACGTCATTGTGTGGGCACCTCGGCGTGATGTAATGATTAGCATGCTTGTCTCGCTAAAACAGTTACGACTGAACAGTGAGTTCGATCCTCACTGGGTACCCCATACGTTCGGCCACATCTAGGCTACGCTTAGAAAATCACTATAACGTGATTGTGCAAATGGATGGCAGAGCAGGGAATGAGAAGAAAGGAGAGAAAGAGGGATACAAACATTGCTTATAGTTACAAAGGATAGGAAGTAGTGGAGAACTATGACCGCCCACGTGACACAGCTAATAAGCGAAGAAATTGGAAATGATTTTTACTATGGAAAAGCCTTCGTGCTGTGTAATATCAATCATCCTCGTGAATTTTGGGCAGTGTCGTTACTGATGAAGATGAAACGAGAAGAAACAGGAGATGTGGCTCCACAGAAGGATGCTGAGAATATCTTGAACTGAGTGCGTGAGCAAGTATGATGTTTTATGGAAACGAAGAGAAATTTTATTTTTTTATAAGTCGAAAGAGATTGCTGAAATTTCTAGGACACATCATGAGGAAAGTGGGCTTTGAGAACTTGACACTCAAAGGTATGTCGGAGGCCAGCGAGACAGAGGGAAACAGCGGGTAACCTACCTAACTTAGACAGCCGGGACTGATGAAAAAAAAATAAAGACCTACAAAGTGCAGGCAGTGGGAGAGAGTCATATTGGTCCATGGCCTAAAGGGACGCGGCTCACAGAGGAAGAAAATACAACAATACTGAGGAAAATGCCGGGATGTTGAGACTTCCCGCCATTTGATCTCTGGTGTTAATCCCGCCACCCTGGATATCAATGGATGCTAAAAAAAGGGCGGTGGAGAGGTGGGGTTTAAGAAGGGTGCAAGAGGAGGGGGAGGAATCGCAGAGGATGTGTGTATGAGGAGGAGAGAAGAGGTGGAGGAGCATGAGGAGGTGTAGGTGGAGAGGGGGAGGAAGGATTTATGAGAAGTAAGGGAGGGGGTATGGGGAGCAGGAGAAGGAGGAGGAGGAGGAGGAGGAGGATGAAGGGTGGCATGCATGATAATGTGTATGGCTCGAGAAATAAAAGAGAATGAGCTGTTGGAATCGGAAAAAAAAATATGATGTCGGAGAAATTTTTTTTTGTTTTTTTTCAAAATGCCGAACGAATCGATCATCAATCAACGAACTTATCATATGACCTGGCGCCATATTTATTTATTTTCTGTTTTTATTTGTTATATTTTTTATTTGTTTTTTTTATTTGCTTTTTTTTTATTCAAAGTTGGAGTTGGAAATATTTTAATCTCATTACTGTGTTTTTTTTTTTACCCAATTTAGAAAATAGCCCTCACCCCCCAAAAAAAAGAAGCAAAATAATCAAGCAAAACATTTAAACGCTGACGGCAATTCATTGGGTCTCTGTCTCTAATTATGCAAATATATGCAAAATAGGCAACGGGCAGATTTGGTCTCATCAATTCTGAATAAAGTTCCGTGTTTGTTTCCCTAAATTCAAACCAAAATTGAAATACAAGTCCTGTTAGAAAATGACTTCTGAAAAGGAAAATTCGATTGTCAAGTATTAGTTTTAGTCAAAAACTAATTTCTGTTTGGGTGGGGGCAGTTTGTAATAGTGAATATACCAACCTATCTACTAAATAATACGTGATAGTTAAAAATAAATTTGTAATACACTAATAGCAGCGGGAAGAGGAAGGTATGTTTAAACATATTAAACATTAAACCTATTATTTTGACTTATTTAGATAAAACCATAATTTTTCCGGTTCATTTGACTAATTTCTAATAATATGAAATATCAAATGACAACAATACTTATTATCAACGCTGCCGGTTTTCTAACTTATGACTGAATTCTAACAAGGGAGATAATACATTATTTCTATGCATAATGAACTAGCAGTAGAGCCCGGCGTTGCCCGGGGATGTAACAGTAAGAGATAGATCAAGTATCGACCATCATAAAAACTGAAAAATAAAATTGGCAAAGATTATTGTTTAAGGTTGACGGACACGCATGTCTTAATTAGATTTTTTTTTTACGAATTGGTCAAACCCAAACTCAAACAAAAACATTGTTTTCAATCGTTATGAGTCTCTACCGATTGAATAGAATTTTATTATAAACAATTGTCTTGTAAATGGAATTTTTAAAGCATTCTGAATGTAAAAATAAAGAAAAAAGTATGCAAGACAATAAGAAACACTACCTGTTTTGTTGAAATCGGTTGAAACATATACCGGTAAAAGCACGTCAAGCTAAATGACGGTTCCGTATAGGCTACAGGTTCGAATCCTCTCGGAGAACGAATATTTTCTGTGTAAATTTCTCGGGCATTCAGGCCGGTAAATGATGTATAATACTGTTTATTATAAAACAGAGCATTTACTTAAATATTTGTATCTATAAAAAGAATGTATAAACATAAAATTGTCTTAACACACACACACACATATATATATATATATATATGATGTGAATACCATGAACTGAACATGCGAGTAATAAGAAAGTTTGAAGGGAAAAGACACGTAAAAAAAAAGAGTGCTGACCTGATATGTAATATCAATCGTTCTATATAGCAGTGAATGTTGGACAAGTACCTCACAGATGAGGAGGAGACTTGAGGCAACAGATATGCGATTCTACAGAAGGATGCTGAGAATACCATGGAATGAACATAGGAAAAAAGTATTAGAGAAAATTGAAATAAAAATGATTCTTAGGCATAACAACAAAAAGAAACAGTTGAAAGCCGTAGGGCTCATAATGAGGAAAGAGGGTTTGGAAAAAGTGACACTCATAAGACATTGAAGTCAAGTGGGGCAGAGGAAAACAGCGAATGACTTATCTAACGAGCTTGTGTAAATTTTAGGCAGATCAGGGGTTAGGAGATATAGCAAAAAGACAAATTTTACTAAGGGCTACAAAGGAAAGGTAGTTGTGGAGAGCCACGACTGGCACATAGAAAAGGATTTTTCACCGGCTTATCTATTGTTTTTAATAACTTTTTTATTCTATAATCTACGGTTAACGAGAGAAAAAAAACATTATTTACATTATTCGGACTATTGTCCTCATCTTTGTCGCCATATTTATCACAACGTTTCGGCCGTGGTACACTCCGGCCTTCTTCAGGTGGTTGGAATGTCGAACTGAACCCTTTATTTCGCTCACTGATGTAGACTGTTCTAGTTCCACGTGCCATGTTTTAATGGATGTCAGTTATCAGTTATCTCCTGTTAATTTCCCTCTGAAAGTTCTCCACTGCCTTAACCGGGTATTGAACTCACACTCCTGTCACTGGATCTAACCAACGCCTTTATCCACTGTGCCATGTGTCCTTGAGTTCTCCACTATCTTAACCGGGTATTGAACTCACACTCTTTGGGTTCTGTCACTGGATCTAACCAACGCCTTAATCCACTGCGCCATGTGTCCTTGTGTTATTTTTAATAATACTCTCAAATAGCAGATGAGATGATTTAATGTATTAACAGAGGATGGATAATGTATCCCCCCACCCCCGCAACCGAAAATCCAAACATACACTGGAATAGTGAAAGATGCTTTCCAAAAACTAAAAAAAAAAAATATCATTTTGTTTATAAAAATTCCATTCGAAACAAAGAAAAGAGCACTAAATTGTTATCCAATATCACCCCTCCGATATGACAGTGAATGATGGACAACAGATAAATGCTTCTACAGAAGGATGCTGAGG